CTGTTTCGTTAACCACACTACTTTTTCATTCCCGTCTTCAGAGCCCTTTCCTTCCCCTTTTTTTTCGCTAAGTTTCCTGTCTTACCTCTCTTTCTGGCCCTTTATGATCGTAATGCTTGCTACACACTCCTTTTCTACCCTTTTCCTTTTCTCATATGCTCTATAGGTTCAAAGAGCAAAAACACATAATGTTTCTCCTTTCACTAACAGAGATAGTAGCCTTTTCTTGTTTATGATGTTAACCTTATATTGTACAGCATTTTCTGGAGAGGTTCCAATTTTTCATTGTATGATAATCGGTCATGGCTGTATGATAATTGATCTTTCTGTATGTTACTCTGTTGCTGATTTCTAAATAAAGAATTTGAGAGAAATCCTAATGTGTAGATGTCAGTGCTAGGAAATTGCTCCCACTCAGATTCAAACCTGCCTAGAAATGTGAATCTTGTTTTGAATGGGCTGCCTAACACAACACGCACAATGCACAATAACATGTGTGTTGCACTGCAGTGTACCCTTGTGTAATCGACCCTTAAGTAAAAATAAGAAAACTTTGGCTCTAGTACAGTTGATGTTTTGTTTTTTGTTTTTTTAGAAGCTCTCTGATTGATTTAACGTATTTCCTCTGTTAATTGCTCCTTAACTGGAATAAGCTAAAACAAGATAAGATAATATACCACAGAGACCCTCTTGAATAGCTGTCTAAAACCTTAGCTCTGACCATGGCTGTATTGTCCAGATGTGTCTTATATCACCTGTTCTGTCCAGCAGCATGACATGTTCTAGAGATGTACAAGTTCCTGCCATTGATGAATTACTAGTGTTTAAGAGTTCAGGAAGTGGAGAAAGCAAGCTAGCCATAATCAGCTGTGTCAGGTTCATGCTACCTGCCCAATACTGGCAGAAAAAAGATAAATATATGTAGAACGCATCTGTGGATTGTGATAACATAAAAAAATAGAATCCAGCAAGCATTGGAGAAGTAACAATGAACTTAATTTATTTGGTTTTGGTTAGTGAAATATAAAAAATTTGAATTGAAAGTGTTTTGTTATATATATACACACCTATATCTATCTATCTATCTATCTATCTATCTATCTATCTATCTATCTATCTATCTATCTATCTATCTATCTAGATAGATATAAATCCTGTATAATAATAATTGTATTGTAAAATGTATTGTAAGTGTACTGTCTCCTCTATTTTGTAAAGCGCTGTGGTGCAAATTGTTGGCGCTATATAAATTCTGTATAATAATAATAATAATTGGGTCAATAGGTGCAAAAATATCCTCTGATCATGTCAGAAATGTAGAACTGCCCTGCATCATGTGCAGACTTCCTGTGTTATCCTAAGGAGCCTAATGAATCCTCCTGGTTCTTATCTTGAACTACACAATACATTTATTTATTTATTTTATTTCAGCTATTTATATAGCGCCGACAATTTTTACGCAGCACTTTACATACTGCACATGAACAGTTTATTGTGCTCCTTGCCCTTCCATACAGAGTATAGCGACCTTTGTTTTTTCTTGGTGCTCGAAGTGATCACACAGATGGTGCCGGGTCGTGAAGCAATTGATAACAGGAATCACCAGCACCCAAAAAATTCATGCAGTATGAACGCTCTTTATTCACTTGACAGGATCACTGACATAGTGACGTTCACTATATCTCCCTAAGGGAAGGGACCCTGTATGGCCCTCAAACTTTGGCTTTATGACAAGAAGTGACAAGTGAATAAAGAGCGTTCATACTACACGCATTTTTTGTGTGCTGGTGATTCCTGTTATCATTTACATACTGCACATTCACATCAGTCCCTGCCCTCAAGGAGCTTACAATCTAAGGTTCCTATCTCACATGCATACAGGTCAGATTTAGACAGGATGCATTTAACCTTCCAGCATGTCTTTGGAGTGTGGGAAAAAACCAGAGTACCCAGAGGAAACTCACGCAAGCATAGGGAGAATATGCAAACTCCTTGCAGATAGTGTCCAGACTGGGGATCCCAAGTGCTGCCAAGGCAGAAGTAATTAATGTCTATGTTCTAGAGATCTGAGAGTGGAAAGGTTTATGCAGTTTAGCAAAAGACAACTGGGCAGGGATGAGACCACTCAGTCCACAACAAATGGTGTGTATTGCCAGTCCACTACAGAGCTTTTTGTAATCTTTAATAGTCTCATTAACATTTTATTTTACTATCTATTTAGGAGTTCTATAACCTACCCTGAGCAATTCTAAATTGTACAGCAGGGAGTGACCTCTGTCGGAGGCATGACACCGGAACTGATGCCGATCATAGACTCTATGCCGATGTAGCCGGCATTTCAGAATTGCTCATAGTAGCTTACAGAGCTCCTAAAGTAGAAACAAAAATGAGAACGCTAATGTGAATATAATAGATAAAAAACATAAAAAAGCTATGACAAGAGTTGGGCTTTAATAATTTCAACAGCATATTGAGTAAACCAGAAAATAAAGTAGAAGACATTTTTACTTTTAGCACTAAATTACAAGTGATAGGTATGAAGTATATATAGACATGTATAAATATACATGATGATAATGCAAAAAAGAATGCAGCATCAGGTACAAGTAATGATTACACACATATAAAGATATTTTATTACAGACTTTACTACAGACTCATGTTTTAGCATAAATAGCTAAAAGAGCAGTAAGTTAAAGTCTGCAACTTAAAATTCTACCTAAATTACCAACTACTTTTAATATAGTGCAATAAATTAATAAACTCAAATGAAGTAAAATGAAAAGGACTCTTGTACATAAAACTTTAATCTCCTTATTTAATCTTCTTTTTTTAGCCAACTGGGTTAATAAACACAGCACATATTTCCAGCAAGCTTCATAATGGAAGAATGTCTGTCTGATGGATTTTGGTCCTGAAGTAATGATATATTCCTGGTGTTTTAAATAGGCAGTCTGGAACCCACACACTTTGCTTGTGTTAATAGGTGCAGTAATGCACAGTGGTTGATTTTTTGGCAACATTTAACATGGTCTGTGAAAATCTGAATATAGCTGAAGGCAAAATGATACCAAAGACGTCAGTGGACGCTTTCAAATTAAATAAAAGTGGATCAGTTATGAAAAAAAAAAAGAAATGTAAATTGAAACACATTATAGCTGCATGCCAACATGTCTATATGGGAATGTAAGTGTGATTAATAGCTGGCAAATCTGCCTGCCTTTTCTGGAGACTATTTGACCATGTGGACAACATGCTAGATTTCACAATCGGCCATACTCTAGATTGCACATGGCTCACTCTCTCAAAATCTGGGATTCATTCCAATACTCCGGTGCTCTCCTCTCTCCCCATCTCCCGTTGCTATATTTCCTGAACAACTACTTATTTACCCCAGGAATCAACTCCCTGCAGTCCTTCAGGTATTGGACCTTTTACATACTTTGAGACTCAACATAAACTCCCAGCGATAGAGCATTTTTGATATCTCCAGATTAAGAACTGTCCGCTTGGACTTTCTGTGGTGCCTCTCTCTTCATCCTCTTCATCACCCTAGGACCTGTGGTACAGACTGCTAAGAGAGCAGAGTGAAAGTTCATGACGGGTGAGCAGTGTGAATGTCTTGAAGCTGTGGAAAGCTACTGAGCCATATAATAATACTATACTATGTTATACGCACTGCAGATGCTAATATAAATGTATTGAAAAGAAAACAAAAAAAATGATTATCTGTTACTGTCATAGTTCCTATATACTCTCTACTTAGACCTGACATTATTTAATCACTTATAAACAGAAGACTGCTATCTCCCCTTCTTTTGATCTTTTATCTTAGACTTTTATTCTCTGCCTAGAGGAAGCAGAGTAAATACTACAAGAAAAGAATAGAGAGCTTTGGATTCATGAATCCCTGCAACACTGTTTTAAGACCACAGCACCAGACAATGGCAAACAAACAAACAAACCACAACATTACATTTAACCCACCAAGGCTTGACTCCTTCACTGCCCCTATGATTGTCCCCTCTGATGATGAGTAGATTTGCACGCCATCGCTTACTAAATAAAACGTTACTTGCATTAAAAACATTTCAATCTGCAGCCAGTTATAATTTTAAAATGGCCACAACATGATATTCTTCCTTACAGCCATTGATGTACTATGTATACAAAATACCCCAGAATTCCAAACCCACTGCAAATGTGTTTGGCTATGTATACAGAATACCTCAGAATTCTGAACCCACTGCTAATCAGTTTGGTTCACTCCTTTTAAAAATGGCCACAACATGATGTTCTTCCTTACAGCCAATAATGTACTATGTATACAAAATACCCCAGAATTCCAAACCCACTGCAAATGTGTTTGGCTATGTATACAGAATACCTCAGAATTCTGAACCCACTGCTAATCAGTTTGGCTCACTGCTTCTACCAAAAGTCTGCCCTGAACGTAAAGTCAAATTACAGATATATCCTGCAAAAGGTGCTTCATCTTAAATTAGATAATTTAAAACACTTTTGTGTGCACAAAGAAATGCTGAGTCAGTAACTGCATTACACCACTACGTTTGATCAGGTGGTTATATTGAAGGCATATTCTCCCACTAAGCTGACATTTTTAGAAAGTGCTGGCAAGGTGCAATGATAATTTCAGAATAGATGCATAAGGCGCTCTAAGAAAGTTTATTGAAATGTTTGCTTATTTTTTCGCAACAAAACAGCAGTTTCCATTAAACAGGTAATCTGACTTAGAACCCTAGGAGTGCATCCGTTTTTGAATAAAAATACACGCAATTGACAATTATTGTCTTCCACAATAGATAATGTTATTGACAAAGTAAATCAAACTAAAAAAGTCAATAGCTTAGAAATGTTGTATGTTAGAACTACAAGGAAATGTGTATTGATTGTTGCTTTCAAGTTGCTTTATTTGTTTTTGGAAATTAATATTTAAATTGCTTCTAAGTTGCATTAAAGTATGTGTACTTTACTTTTAGGTTTCCTCTTCAGGTTGCTGCTGTGGCTGAAAACTGCATACTCACAGTGTATCCTTATTTAGCCTATCATCGAACAGATCAGCAGGTCATCCTAAGAAGTGGTAAATCTTTTAACTTTTAATTACTAGTTTGTGTTTCAGCCATAAGGTGTCAGAAACAGTTAATGATGCATTGTGTGTAACTGATGGTTTTTTTTTGTTCTTTTATTATAAACTAGAGATAAAGTGCATAAAGCCATTGTTAGCCCAAAGTAATCACTTGAGATTTTGAATTATTAACACAAAATGATCTAATTATGGTAGAAACAAGACTTCTATTTTACAAAGTATTTATTGCAATAGTCTTATTGTATCTTGGTTTGCTTGAGCACTAAGTAATTTTGCAATATCACCAACTGTCTTCTAATAATGTAATCCAATTGTATTTTATAATCGTAGTAGGTTTATCCCAAGGCCCCACTTATAAGGAGACATATATTTAGTGCTGACAAAGTCCTTTCATACCACCATGTATAGTACAATGATAGTTTAATGTATGTTTATTGAATCAAAATAGGGTCTCTCTAACCCTAATGCAAACCTAATCCCTAAAACTAAACCATAAAACCACTAACACTAACCCTCACACTAACCCTAGCACTTACCCTCCATGTATCCCTAACTCTTACTCTCACATTAACCCTCCCTGTAGCCCTAACACTAACCCTGTTTTTAAAATGGTTGTGCAAAACCAACATATACTAGCAGATACGATCATCATAAGACAAAGTTTTTTTTCAGATATAAACAGATATTTCTAGCCCTGTGAGTCATTTAGGGTGAATTCACACCAAATGCATTGGGACTGCGGTGGCCGTTTCTTCCGGAGCAGCCCCAATGCGTGCAGTACTTCTTTTTCAGCACAGCGAGACCCAACTCCTCACTGTGCCCATAGAACGTAATGAACTGTCAGTTGAGATATTTCAATAAGTTCTTAAAAACAATAGAAAAAAGAGTACTCAATGCAATGTGCCAGGCACCACACATCAGCCACTGCGCGATGTAGCACAGTGGCTGGTATGAATGGGTCCTTAATGTTGTCCTGTATTAAGGTACAGAAAGAAAGAAAAGAAACAGAAACGTGTTTCATGATGACCTTCCACACAATATAAAGTAAGCCAGTTACAATATTAGCATTCAAAGTTATGGTTTGCCAGTGCATACTCTAAATGCAGCACAGTTGAAAACACATAAACTATTTCCTTCTTTTATCTGCAATGTGATATCTTGTAATTAACTGTTTACTTTCCTGCATTTAGGCCATAATGGAAATGGAAAAAATGGCAGCACCAGTGAAGCTGTTCTGCATCCTTGCTACATACCAGAAACGCCTTCCCAGAGTACATCATCCAGCTCTCTTGGTGCTGTTACAAGCTCCACTTACGAAGATTCAGTCTCAGGTATGTAGAACCCTAAAACAGAAATGTTAAAGATGTTTACTAGATATTATGCAGTTATTCAGATTGGCAAATCCCTGGTGCAGCGATGGAAGCTATACCCTGACCTCCCTGGACTGAAGATTGCAGGGCATGTCTGAGATGTGTCCCTTGGGCACTGGGCTTTGCTTGTGGTGCTCGCCAGACATCTAAAGCACTGGTTTGCTAGCTGCAAAGGGCTTTACCGGTCCAGAGATATGGCACAATCTCTGGTGTGACCCAGTCCCTGAAGACTCACTAGTGAGTATCCCCATAGATATGGTTAACATAACCTGGAATGTGACCTTTGTACACTGGGCTCTGCTTGTGGCACTCTCTATTTCCTTCGTACTGTGTTTGTTAGCCACAGAATGCTTTTTGGGTCCATGATCATGGTAACTTTCTGTGGATTCTTGTCTATATATTCATTCTGAGTATGGCAAACTATCCCTTTCTCTCACTGTTCAGCACCACTATTGTTTTTCCCCTATTCTGTCGGCTCCCATGGAAAGGGTTAATGAGTTGGAGAAATCAGTGTTGCACCACTACCTGCAGAACCATCTACACAGTCTCTTCCTGCATCCAGTAGGAGGTAGCTTTTCTGATACTGCAATTGCAAGGGTCAAGGGGTTATTACCTCAGTATGTCCTTGTTGCCACCTACAGTGACTCTCCAGACAATATATACCTCACCTGCTGTCAGCAGCTGGTTTGCAAGTACGCAAGGTTTCTTCTTGTTGTTTGTTTATAATTTGCCTTAGTTACAGCGCACCATGTCAGATCCTAAAACCTCTCCCAGGCTTCTCTAACTCTCAACCCACTAACAGCTCTGGGGAGGCTTGCAATCCCCCTCCTCAAAGACCTGGCACTGATAACCTGGATCATTGTTTCCTGTTTAAATTCACATTCTCTTCAGAGTCTATTTTAGCTCCTTCAGGTATGGCTCCCTTATGCCTTCTGCCTTATTGAGTGAAGAGTTGTTTACAGCTATGCTAGATTTTATGAACACAATCACTATCATGATAGCTGACTTAGAGGCTCTCCCCTGAATCTTTAAGGGATACTCATGCATCTGTGGCAACCTTTAAGCCTTCTGCTGTGGATGGGTTGTGGAATGAGGAGTCTCAGCCTACTGATATAGCTCCTAAGCTTAAATATCCCAAATTGAATGTCATTTACACAGTGCAGCCAAAACAGCTACTGTTACCAGTCTGAGTTCCCTAAAAGGCCTAAAAATGGTCAAAACCACTCCTTGCTGCAACTTATTATGTATGGAGACTGGATTGCTCCTAATAAGCTATTCCTGCCTCCTAAAAATGTTTCTGAGGTAGATCCCACAATGGACTCAGCTCTTTCTTGTCTTAACAACTGTCTTTCCCTATTTAGGATGTCCCAGCATTTAAGGATTAAGTAGACTAGAGGCTCTTATCAAATATTTTTTTCCCTGGCAGGTCCTGCTGTGCAGCCTGCCATAGCTGTCATGTCAATCTTTCAGACATTGTGGAAATGGACTAAGAACATGTCTGAGGAACCCGACACTATCTTTACTGACCATTCAGTTATGAAGCACTTACACTGTGGGGGTGATTTACTAACCTAAACACACACACACACCAGATGTGTGTGATTTTCACACAGCAAAACGTATTTATCAACCAAAAAGTCTCCAAAAGCATATTTCCACTAATGCCATATATGGAAAAATCATGCACATGATGCATATATAATGCTGCTTCACAGTTTAGACAAAAATGGTTAGCTCATGCATTTAGATTCCTGCATTCATCAACGCAAGCAACATAACATAGAGCTAATTTACACCACATTACCTTGCAATTCATTGCAGGGCTTTGCACAACACACCTGCTGGGTGTGTACACACTACAAAGGTGTTTCGATTCCTCCCATAGATCATGCTGGGAGGGAACACACTACAGAGGTGTATACACGTTCGTGGTGTGTTTAAAAGGTTAGTAAATCAACCCCAGTATGTCTGTTGTGTTGACAAGTTAGTAGATATTGTCCATCTAATTTCCTGTATGGGTCTTCTGTCTGTTAATACGTCTAAAATGTTGGTGTGCAGAACAACAATGCTAAAAAAAAGCTTACTGAGGATGCCTTTTGAAGGAGAACATCTCTTTAGTGCTTCTTTAGACAACTTTATCAACAATGTCAGTGGTGGGAAGAGTACCCTTTTACCTTAGTAAAATAGGCCTGGGTCTCAAACTGGGAAAAATTTGAGGGGTTCCTGTCACATCTCCCAAGCTTCCCATTCTAAAGTCCTGGGCACCCAAATTTTCCAAACCTGCAGATAAGTGCAATGAAGGGATGCCCCCACTTTCCCGAATGGGGAGATTCTGTTGGCAAATGCAGTGTTAGGATCCAGAGCGCCTCCAGGTGGCGCTGGAGCTGAGCCCTGCAGTTCCTGGGCTCACCTGCAGGATTCTCCAGGCAGCCAGGGGCTGCTAGGTGCCAGACCACCACTGGGTGGTGCTGGTACCTGCAGCTCCAGTGCTCACCTGTGGGTGTCTCCCAGCTGCCAGGAATCAGCCCATTAGGTAATACTCCTGGGAGAGTATTTAAACCCTCCCTGCTGTCTGGACCTTGGCTCAGGATTCCGTTGCTTTCCCCTGTTGTCTGAGTCCTCTGGCCTGAACCCTGAGACCCTGATATTTGCATGCTATTTTAGTACCCTGTTTCCTGTGTTACCCGGTTTCCTGTGTTGTTACATTTTTGGTTTATGCCTGTTGTGGATTGTTTTAGTTAGCTTGCTAGGTTTATTAAAATATTTATATATACCATACTTACCTGGTCCGTGTGGTCACATGTGTTTGGTCTGCCTGTAAGGGTACCTGTGCAGGTGTGGGGTCACCTGCGCTGGGATCCCCTGACATGCAGACACCGGGTCAGAAAGCATCTTGGATGAATGGCTAAAACTGTTTTGTCCAGGGCCTGTCATAACTTCCCTCCACCAGGTAGATTTTCTAGCCTTTGTTGTCATCAAGGATGCATACATATTTGCAGTGTACCAACACTCTCTGTGCTTGCTGTGGGCACACAACACTATAGTTTATAACATAATCGATAGCCGACGAATCGACGATCGAAAACGTTGCCAACGTTTTCAATCGTCGATTTTAATCGACTAAATCGATTAACTGTTGCAGCTCTACACTTTAATTTGATCTGTCTTCAATACCCGGAGTGTTCACCAAAGTACTGTCTTAGTACTAGCCTTATTACAATTCTAGAGCATTCCCATTTTAGGATACCTGGACCATCTCCTGTTGAGGGAACAGTCGGCACAAACTTGTGGTGTGGACTGTCCAGACTCTACAAAGATTCTTTTGAATATAGCAGCAACGATACTACTAATTAGGGATGTTCCGATACCACTTTTTAAAGACCAAGTACAAGTACTTCCCCTCATGTACTTGCCAATACCAATTACCGATACTTTTTCTTAAAGGGACAGGTGACTTTAAATGATCCATAGTACAACTACATGTTATGTACTATGGATCATGGTTTAACCTATTCATGTTAGCAGGGGAGAATTGTAAATCTATTGCTGTAGTGTAGTGGAGGTGTGTGCTGTATATATGTACTACATTACACACGTCCAGTACACTATAGCAATAGATTTACAGCCAGCCTTGTCCCAGCTTCCCTCACTCACAGTTTCACTCTGATCCCTGTTGCCTCACGCGGTGCCTCTTGTAGTCGGCACTGGGCAGGAGCGCTGCATCGTGTCTCGGTGCTCAGCTTGTGGGAGGCGCTCACAATTCTGCCCTGCTAACATGAATAGGTTAAATCATGATCCATAGTACATATAAAGCACACATGTCCCGTACACTGCAGTAATAGAGTTACAATTATCCCCTGCTAACATGAATAGGTTAAATCATGATCCATAGTACATAATAGTACATAACATGTAGTTGTACTACAGATCATTTAACCCATTCATGTTAGCAGGGGATCATTGTAAATCTATTGCTGCAGTGAATTGGGAATTTGTACATGTACTATGTACTACATATAGAATGCACTGCAGCAATAGATTTACAATTCTGCACTGCTAACATGAATGGGTTAAATGATCCATAGTACATAACTACATGTTATGTACTATTATGTACTACGGATCATTTAACCTATTCATGTTAGCATTGGATAATTGCAAATCTATTGTTGCAGTGCATTCTATATGTAGTGCATAGTACATGTACATATAGAGTGCACTGCAACAATAGATTTACAATTATCCTCTGCTAACATGAATGAGTTAAATGATCCATAGTACAGGGCTACATATGGATCATTTAATCCATTCATGTTAGCAGAGGAGAATTGTAAATCTATGGTCTCCAGTGTATTAGCAGTGTGTACTCTATATGTACCACGTATAGAGTACACATTGCTAATACACTGGAGACCACAGATTTACATGTATCCCCTGCTTAATAGTGCCCCCCCCTTGCCCTCAATCACTGTGCGGGATAGCAGTGACGAGTCAGCGCTGGTTCAGTGGGAGGAGCTCCAGGTGGGGTCCTAATTTAGCTGGCCCAGACGCGCCGGCCAGATAAATTAAGATCTCACCTGGAGCTCCTCCCACTGGACCAGCGCTGATTCGACGCTGCTCCCTGGCACTGAAGGACGGCACTGAGGTGAAGAGGAGCATTGCGTCAATGCTGCTCCGGTGGGCGGCGCTCCGAGTGGGGTCCTCTGGGCAGTAGCCGGCCACCTAAATTAGCACCCCACCTGGAGCACCGCCCACCGGAGCAGCAGTGGCGCGATGCTCGGCGAGGTAAGAAACAAAAACCATAGCGCAAGCTTCGGCACTATGTATCGGGGCATTTTGACAAGTACAAGTACTTGTCAAATGCCCTGTATCAGTCCCGATACCGATGCTAGTACCGGTATCGGGACATCCCTACTACTAATGCAAGATGGAAATATTTAAGCATCAAAATCTTTATTATCTCAAAATCCGCTCTGAGACCTGTGCCCATAAATCTGCAATGAAAGCTAGTTATGGAACAAATAAAATCACTCCTATAACAAATAAAAACAATCCTATTCAGTATTGTTTTGGCTTCTGTGCCCCACTGAGAAAATGTCTTTTTACTCTTTGCACTGTATACACAAAATTAAGTGATAAGATAAATCACTTAAAAATTAAGGACATGTCATCTTAGACAGTTGCCACTGGAACAGGTGTCTCCAGGAGAAAATGTCCCCTCTCTTCTTGTTCTGTTTACAATTCAAACATTTTGGATTTGTCCTCACTTTCAGACCCAATAATGATGGTCACTAGGACTAATAGAAAGCATGGTTCTTGTAGCTCTTTTAATGAAGCATTAAAATATAACAAAAAAGCAGCATTTTAAAAAATCTTTTGATGATTCAGTAAGAAAGCTATAAACATATTTTCTTTGATGTGTTGGCCATTTTTGGACTTTAGGTTTTGCAGTATCACTAGAGGCCTGAACAGGCATCAGAGGAGTAACTGTGGGATGGATTGTAAATGACCAATAACAACCTAACCCTTTCCCCTCTATCCAAAACTAAATCAATAAGTTGTAACTTTAGATACACTATATTCAGAACTCTATACATTACTTTACAACCAGGTTCATTAAAAAAAAAAGTTATATTTTTTTCTAAATAATCTCTGATTTTACTGTACAGACAATATATAAATATGTGTAAAAGTAAAAAAAAAAAAGCTTTTTGCTAAACTGCTAAAGTGAAATGTGTACAAATTGCCCATTTGAAAAGAAAGAGACACTCTTTTCTGGAAACAGGTTCCCTTACATCCGTGAAACTTTTATTTTGTATTGTGCTTGTGTTTCTTTTAGGACTGACTACTCATTTGGGAAATCACTGTTATTTTCCAATTTGCTTTACAGTTTTTCTGTTATTTTGGAATGTATTGCACAGAGCAAAGCTAAAGATAAAGTGTTGCTGTCAACATTTTACAGCGCTTCACCAGCATCCAAGAGAATATAAGTCATCCAAGAGAATAGCCAACAGGCCCATAATGATCTCATAATTACCATTATTAAAATAAAATTCTGCTCTTGTCAAATTGTCATATGCTCATTTAGGAGCGTATTTATTTCAGATTTAAATATTGCAAGAACGATTGATTTATGTTGAATTCGCTACCATTTTACACTGCGCCATAATGGTTTATCTGTTTATCTGCAGCATAAATACTGTAAATCTTTCCTGCATTTTATCATATGACAATACAATTTTACATTTTGTGTTGCTTATCACATTATTTTTTAGAGAGCTATTCGCTAATATTAAAGTCTGCATAAAAATAGAAGTTATTGCTTCAATATTACTGCAGTTCATGTTTATGCTGGCCAACTGTGTCAAAGTCATCCCTTTCTGGCAAGTGCCTACTCTATTAGCAAAGCAAAATGCTTATGTATACTTCTGGATATACTTAATATGCACATAACCTACTTTGGAGGACCTACTGGTGTTGATTTACTAAAGGAGTACAACATGTTCACTTTGCAAAGCAAATTCATAGTTAGCTTAGTGAACGAGGTGAACCAACGTAAAATTCCCTTTCCAAAGAATACCTAGTCATGTACAAATTATAAAAACAGGATTATTGCTTCACCCTATTCAGTAATCAAAATTTCACTTTGCTAATTGAACATTTCCTTTATTAAATGAACAGCCTCTACTCCTTTAGTAAATCATCCCCACTGTATAGTGCTAATATAAGGGTAAACTGAAATAGTTAAAATGTTCTGCTGCTGGTGTACACTGTGAAGAAAGCAGTGCAATGCAATGTCTTTGAACTTTATTGAAATGTCAGAAAGTGACACTTATTTTAGTCCTACTTACTCCAGTGCACTGTGATGCAGTGTAGTGCATTGTGATGCAGTGTAGTGCATTGCATCATAATTCTCTTCTCTATAACATAGGAGGGTTGTGTTTTGTAGTCCATGAGATAGCAGGGGACAATGCTATTTAATAACAGTCAGCACAGGCAGAGAGGATAGAAAGTTATTATGTCACAAGGTTTCTGGCAGAGACAGCTGGAGGTACACTTTCAATTTAATATACTGTATAAAAGACCAAAAAAAAGGCAAATAAAAGTCTATTGTTATTGTTTACATACACTTTAAACTGTTAACCAGGGAATGACTGTTTAAATGGTGCTAGCCTGTCCCCAAAGCAATTTTCAGTATAGCTGTAAAACAATTCAGGGCCTGGGACTATTGGGCACATTAGGTGCAGTAAGTCTTATTTTTTTTCTTTATCTGCACAGGCAAGAGCACAAGGTACCTTAAAAGAAATCAGAGCATAAAGGAAATCTAAACTTACTGGAAGGCTACCCTACGTTTGATATGTGAACATGTTCTCACTAAGAAATAGAGCCCTGAAAGATTGAATTGAAAAAGTGGTTGTTGGAAAATAATGCCGTTTCTCAGAATACTTGATACATCAAACAGATAATGAAACACAAAAGAGTGTATAATTTTTCTTCCGACTACAACACTATGTTTGTTTCGGCTGGCAAATCTAAGCATACCTTATTCTAATAGTAGAGTTAGCACATCACAAACCCAAGATACTGTAGGTTAGTTTTCAAGCTTTTCATTATGTTTCATCACATGCAAGTTAAAGCAGTATTTTGCTTGCACATGGTTGGATGATGGGAATCAATAGAGCTTAATCACATTCACTACCTCCTAACCCTTATAGTTAAAGAAGCTGCCATCTTAGCCTCTATTTGGATTGCAGTTGCCATGGTGCTGCATATGTGATCATCAATGATACCAGCCAATTGAGGGCTTGAAAGTACTGTTGAGAGATAAAATAAGCACACTGGGATCCTTGACAGGTGGCATTCTTAAAGGTAAGTGTTTTGGGAGATATTAAATTGGTGAGTAAAGTTCCATTTTAGGCGACAATTCCCTTTCAAATTGAAATCTCACTTGCAAAGTGAACAGCCTATTTGCCTTTAGAAAATCAACCCCATAGTGTCATGTGATTAAGATTAAGTACACACCATGGAAATTGTTCATTTTTGCAACATATTTGGACAGGCAAACATTAGATATTGATTCAACAATGTCTACAGGTGGAGGTGATATATTTGAACAAGGATTGAAGTAAAAATTGCCTTTGCAATCACTTATTCAACAAAATTATAAATAGAAGTTATGGTGTATAAGTACATCCTTAACATTAGAAGCTGGCATTGCCCCCAGAAACTACATCCTGGAGGCATTTCGTATAACTGCCCACCGGACCGCTTTTTGACCCCTTCCTTATGCAACATTAATTAAGTTCCTTAATTTGAAAGATGTCTGTGGGTTTTCTTCCATGAACTGTCCATTTCAAAATCCCTCTACAATATTTCAATGGGAATCAAATCAGGGGTTTGACTAGGGCAGTCTGTAATTCTCTATGTTTTCTTTTTGAGTCATTCCTTGGTGGATTTGCTTTGGACCTACAGTCAATAAATCCCATAAGTGTACATCATTTTCACATAGCTGCCATATACTGTATACAGCTATATCTATATATATATATAGATATATATATATATCTATATAAAAAACTATGCACCAAGATACATTTTTTTCATGCTCCTGTAGGGACTCCAAGTCTCAAGCTGCCATTTAGTTTTCTCATGCCTAGGACCAGCCTGGCTTTTAGGTTTTTGATGTTGCCTAGAATGCTGAAAAGCAAATTTCTGTTATGTTTTCTCTATAACCGGGGAAAATTCTTATTTGGATTGGAATCACAGCACAGAGTACAGAACAAACTGATAAAAGTCTCAGGGGTCTTTTTAGGTGTATTGTCAGTAAGAGTAAAAGGCAGTTTTGTTCTAGAACTGGATTTATCTACTATACATGTGTATTCCCCACATAGCCAGAAAAGAACAGACAGCAATATATAAAGTACAATTTATTTGGTAATTTGTGCAAAGTGAAATATTCAATCACTGAATGCTTAATGATAACAAAACAGTAAAATAAACTTTGTTCTATCCATTGCTTTAGTGAACTGTGAAAGCTGCGCATAAAAGCTAGGGAGCTGCTTTTCAGCTAGATTAATGCCATTAATAACATTATCTCCAAAAACAGAGTGTTTATTCTTTACTAAACATTATAAAACAATGGATTACACTGCAGTTGGGAAATTGAAAAATGGCTTTAAATATTTTTCATCTTGAAATGTTTTGCAGTAAACATAATCATTGTGTTAATGTAAAATGTTGCCACATGTTTTGTTTTTTTCAGAAGATGACAATGCGTTGGGTAATGAAAGAACACAAACTGGAGATGCAGAGATTCAATATCACAAAACAAAGGACAAACTGGAGCTTTTGTTTTATCCGGAAGAAGATACAGAAGAATGGATATTTTTTCAAAAAGTTTCAGCTATAGTTCAGACATGGTTCAGCCTGTTTGGGTGGCCTAGTGGCTCCAATCCTATTACAATACCAGATTCTTTGTGGAGGTAACACACAATCAAAAGTAATGTAGCATATGTTAATGTATTGCACATTTAAAGAGTTTAAAGAGACCCTGTCATCAACTTAGAAAACAATGTAGGTAATGCATACAAAAAGTATTTAAATTTTTTCCTTGCAGCATTTTTACTTTCCATAAACAATTTTGTATTCACTTGAAATGTGCAAGCGTCCACTCCAGGAAGATTGAATTAAAGACCACAGTTCCCCCTCCATCCTGCCACATTATAGTTCTCTCCTCTTCTGGAAGTGTCTTAATTACTGTCTGGTCTCCTTGTTGGTGTCGCATCACATTAACCGCTTGTCATCCACCCATTGTAAATACACGTGTGGACGGCAACCTCTTCCCAGCGGGTGGACGTACATGTACGTGATTTTTTTTCTGTCTCCCCTGCAGGCCTGGGACAGCATCTGCCTATACAGAGAACTGAGGAGAGATCAGCATTCTCCCACTGCTGATCTCTCCTCCTCTCTCTCTAAAGGCGGAACGCGATGTGTATTACATCACTTCCGCCTTTAGCTGTCATTTCTCTGGCTGCTGTAGCCAGAGAAGAAGCTGGTGAAGCAGATCTCTGCTTTATCAGCTTCTTTGGGGGTCCCCAGTTGACATTAGGGATCTTAGAGACCCCTGATGTCTCCATAAAGAGGATCTGCCATTGTATATTGGCTATCATATAGGGGGCTTGTTAGTCTCCTTTGTGATAGCAATAAAATTAGGTGTAAAAAAAAAGTCCCATAAAAAAAAAAACACCCAAGAAATGTAAATCCCCGCCCTCACGCACATATAAATGTAAATTTGCGCCTACGTACGAAAACAACAATTACGCCTCACATGTTACATATTGCCGCAAACATCGGAGTGCGAACAATAATTCTAAGGCCATAAGTCACTGTTAATACTAAACTGATGAGTGGTAAAAGCTTTTAAATGTCGCCTATGGCCAATTTTAGGCATAATAGTTTTTTTGCGATTTCGCAGGCACACGCAAGGTTGACATGTATGGTGTCTATCCCGACGTAAACCCATCTTTTATATTTAAAAAATTGGGTACTGATAAATGTTTTATAACATAACTTAAGGTAAACAGGGTTTTTTCAAAAATGTTTGTACTTTCTTCATTATGTAGTAAAAAAATAAGAACCCCAGTAGTGATTAAATACCACCAAAAGAAAGCTCTATCTGTCCCCAAAAAATGGTATAAAATTAGTTTCAGTACAGCGTTGCATGACGGAATAAATGTCAGTCAAAGCACCGCTATGCTAAATACTGAAAATGGCCTGGACAGGAAGGGGGTTTAAAACCCCGGTCAGCAAGTGGTTAGAGTGGCACCCTGGGAAGTGAAGCAAGTGCAATTGAGCATAACTTCTACAAGTAAAGTCAAAATGTGTGTGTATGTATATATATAGATATATATATCTATATAATCTCCGAGCGCCAACAATCATCCCACGTTCAAAGGCTGTTAAATCGCGTTGTTTACCCATATCTTCAGAAAAAAATCACTTCTACTGTTGTGGTAAACAACTTGCTTCCCTATTTATGATGGTCTGGCCCCCTAGCAACTTCAGCGCAAAATTATAGCTAATCTGACTACAAACGTCATGTGGTCATAATAATCTGGCCACTCAGTGTATATATATAGTGTAAAAGAAATTGAGTACTGCAGTATGTAATGATACCTTTCTTATTGGACTAACATAATAATTAAAGGACCTCTGATAATAAATCATGTGTTCAGTTTAATTACCTCAATTTAGATTTTTTCTTATTTGATGAGATTTCTCCTTACTGCCTGGGTTATATTTGGGACTACTATATTTGTTATATTTGGGAATGCAAAATAAAGGCAAATCACTTCAAAAAGAAATACCTAATACATTAGAAAAACATCTGAACTGTTTTACCAGATAACATTTTTGAAAATGTATATTCTACGATTCATGCTCTTTGTCACACCTTACAAAGCTAAACAAGTTTCTAATTCCTATTTGTGGTAGGCACTTGCCCCTCCCATCCACCAAAGATTTCTATTGTTTTATCAATGTGATGGATTGCCTGTAGAAATCTGGTAGGTGCAGCTTCAGTTGAAGCTCAACATCAACTAGAAAACCTATGTTTGCATATAAGAATACCCAGGGAGTGCTGAGGTACTCGAGAAGATAACAGAAGAGATGCGCAAGCACCCCGGGTGCCTGCATGAACATTCTGTTGCCAGCTTGTAGCACATAAAGTAAATACCATTGCTCTGGCCACACAGGGTAAAAGCAACAGGTTCACTTTATTGCACACCTCCCCAGTAGCATGCACTTACCCTTCTTTCACTCCCCCACCATTCCATTCAGCTGTAAAAGGCGAGCCCTCTACACAGCGCTATACTACTTCAACTGTCACATGCTCTTGCAAAAGCCCAGGAGATATCCCTCAGCTTTCAGTTTTGAACAGAGTTGCAAGGAAAAGGTAAGTATCTGATTCTGGGTATTGACAGAAGGAAATAAAGCAAGTTGTTTTTTTTCCCTGAATAGGCAAGATATATATATATATATATACAAAAAGTTAAAAAATGGCAGTGGTTTCTGCAAGAAAAAGATTTATTAGGCTTGCAGCAAATATTCAACAATTAATGTTAATCTTTCTGTTTTACCTTTTGTATCCAGTGCTGTGTGTAAAGTCAAGCTGTCAAAGTCCGAAGGAAAGATCCCGAAAACAATAAACCTTGGCAAGCAGGCAAAAACCATTTATGACATGCTGTTCTACCTGAGTGGACAGATGCTGCCTGGAATTACTGCAAGCCAGTCATTGCCCGCTGATCCCACAGAAAGAGTCCTGCAGCTCCATTGGCAGCATGCAACACTGCTCACTTTCCTCAAGTAAGAATCATTATTAATTTTGCTAAGATACACTTTCACAACATTTGATGATAATTAAGAAATGTAAAGATATGCTTTAAGGAGTTGTATCACTTTAGCAATGGCAGAGAGGATTGATCTAAAATGTTGGTTGCATAAAAAAAATTTGTAGTGGGCCTAAGATAAATAATATGTATAATACTCAGTTCACACTGTGCAGTCATTATTCTTGAATGTGAAAAGATTTTAAGTGTATTTCCACCTTTGCAGTCAAACTTGCATAATCCCCATAAATATTTGTTATGTGTTCCCATTCACGCACCATTCCTAAAAATACATTAAAAAAAATATTTCTTACCTTTAAGTTATTTCCTTAAAAAATGTTTATTCACTGGATGCTGCAGGTAGCTTCTATTGTTTAGAATATACTGTATATTAATGTGCAGATAAGGGACAGAACATGCAATGTACCACACCAAGCCTTGTGATCTTTAACCCTTTGCTAGGACAGACAACCTGGCAAACATTACTCCCCAGCCCCTTACTTAACATTACATAGAATGGGATAGCTAAGTAAGACTTTTCAACAAGTGAAAATAAATAAAAAGCATCTATTTTTAAATACCGTATTTGCCGCCGTATAAGGCGACTGGGCGTATAAGACGACCCCCTACTTTTTATGTTAAAACATAGGTTTTGAGCTATATTCGTCGTATAAGACGAGTATAGCCCAAAATAATGTTTGAATAAACACACTATCCTCCATGGCGGTATTCCCGAGTGTGGCTCGGGATTAATTTTCAGTACCATAAGCGGTAACCCCGAGCCACACTCGGGATTACAGTCTCTTACCTTGTCCGCGATCCCCGCTGTGTCCTCCGTCTTCCGGGTTCCATCAGTATACCGCGCTGAGCCAATCACGGCAGGCTTTGTATTCATGAATACAGGCTTTGTATTCATGAATACAAAGTCTGCCGTGATTGGCTCAGCACTGAGCCAATCACGGCAGGCTTTGTATTCATGAATACATGCTTTGTATTCATGAATACAAAGCCTGTCGTGATTGGCTCAGCGTAGTATACTGACGGAACCTGGAAGATTTGTACTGTGTACATCCATACCCGGCGTATAAGACGATTTTCGGGGGATGTTTTTAAGTTTAAAAACCTGTCTTATACGCCGGCAAATACGGTATTTGTAAAGGTATGCTATGTGAATAGGAGCATATAACAAAAAAAAACGTAGGTATTATCTCATAGTTTCTTTAAATGTTTAATTATCTTGTTGACATCTATCTATCTATCTATCTATCTATCTATCTATCTATCTATCTATCTATCTATCTATCTAACATTTATGTGTTTATCTGCTTAGAAAGCTTGAGGATGGATAGATCACTCTCCAATAGCCAAATTGGAAATCTGCATTTCATGGTCGACATCATCTACTTTTTCTGACATTTTCCAACATACTGGTTAACATTTGGGTGTTAGAGTGATAACATGATCTTCTAATGGCTTGAATGAGTCTCTAATTTGCCAGGTTATTGAAAGCATCTCATATTGAAAACTCCATACATAGATATGGCAATGGTACAATTCCATCTATATATTAGGCATTTCATATCTGACTGGATATTTCTTGGTATCCAGGGATGTCAGTTTCTTACATAGCCTGATTATGAGCAGATGAGGGCTGTCTCATACATTATATAAGCATCCATAAAAACAGTTGTATGGTAGATGTAAATAAGTGTAACTGATAAGTGTGCTGACAGAAATCACTTGAATTCTGAGAAATTAATTAAGTGGACAAGTTAGCCTGGTACTCAATGAAAATCTCAGCTACATCAATTATAAAAGCTAATTGACATCAATTAAGCAGACGGTACAAGCAGTAAACATTTGATGAACATTTAATGTATGATAAATTATCAGGGAGAGATTTTAAAGAAAGAGCAGTCATTTTCCACCTGGACAGAGGCTGTGCTTACTCATGCTTGTCCACAGTTCCAAAACTGCCAAGAACTATACAAAATGCGAAAGTTACCTAAATTAAGTATTACAAGGAAAAGTAAAAGCAATGTATATTTACATCCGTTTGCACATTTCACATCCCTGGGCAGCAGCTGCATAAAAGGATCGGTATATGTGTAGCAGGTAGTTTGACAATCAAATGCTTTTTTCTTAATGCAGGTTAGAAAGCCCGTTTTATGATGGCATTTTAGTATGCATCCCATTTATTTGTAAGTGATTATGTTACACAAAGAATTCCCTTTGCACTGGACTATGGCAGATGCATTCTGTATTTTCAAAACATTCCATCTGTGAATTGAATTCTGCTGACATTTTGTGGTGGTTGGCGGAAAAGTCCACCATTATTCTATTATGTAAACTTGGAGAGGGAGAGAGTTATGGAACATTCTGTAATGGATCTATAGCACTGTGCGGATTCACTCAATTTAATGAACCAGATACAGCAAATAGGAAAATACTTAAAGTGACATTAAACCCTCAGATTTTTTAACATAAAACAATACTGTAATGTGTGCCTTACTGTAATCCATGGTTGTTTCCCTTCTCTTTGATGCTCTTCCTTTTAAATCTGTATCTGTTCTCATGCTTGGAGAGAACTTCCCTTTTCAGCTCAGGGCCTCTTCCTGTAGTGCTGGCTCAGGTTACAGCCTATAGAAACGTATACACAGACACCGTTTGAGACAAGGCAGTCTGCTGAAAAGGGAAGTTCTCTCCAAGCATGAGAACAGATACAGATTTAAAAGGAAGAGCATCAAAGAGAAGGGAAACTACCATGGATTACAGTAAGGCGCACATTACAGTATTGTTTTATGTTAAAAAATCTGAGGGTTTAATGTCACTTTAAAGTGTATGTAAACCCTGACAATGAGCTTCTCTTATTTGTTCAATATATGATTGCATTTTGTTATAGCTGTTCGATGAGTGAACAAAACTACCTGTTGAACCTAACAACAAACCTTATGAGCTTGTAAATTCCTGTTCATCTGATGCACTGAAATCTCAAACAATGTTATAAGTCCTACTAGAAAGAGGATGGGGAATTTTTGTGTTTTGTAATGTTATAAGTCCTGCCTAATTCACATCTGTGGACTACGGAACACCTACCCTATCTTATGAAGTTGATGTGAGGGGGAGTGTTCGGTATTGATAACATACTTCCTGCCCTAGAGGGACAATGCTGCTCCTATAAATGGTGCAGTACAGTGCAGTGACAGTGTTGGTCATCCTAGGTCAGGAAGTGTGTTACTACCATTATCACCAGGTGAAAGTAAAGGGGAAAAAGATTGAAAAAAAGAAACATCATTCAGTCACCACATCTAAGGACTGGTAAACTGCAATGTATTAAACGTTTAGTCACCACATCTAGGGACTGGTAAGCTGCAATCTTCTTTTTTTTTAACTCTGTCAGGGTTTTGTAGCAGTTTGTGTCCCTTCACTTTCTGTCTCACTGACAACGCTGTGACTGAGAAATCCTTCCAGCAGGGACACAAAGAACAATACGGCACTTTTTTAGGGAAAGGGTTAAAACCTCTGTCACCTTTTTATTGCAGTCTGTGACCTTCTTATTTTCTGTGCCATTGACACTGTTGTCTCCCAGACAAAAAGTGAAAGGGGATCTTCCCTTTGAATACATAGCAATAAAATTCCGACAGTGCTTAAAACGCTTTACCTGTATCCAAGGTAAAAAAAAAAATGGTTTGGCTGGAGTTTCAATGTAATCCACTATCAGAAATCAGTGGCTGGCAATGTAAGCACAATCTATTCATCAAAGATTTTTATGCCAAAAGATCTTTCCATAAACATTGTAGTGCTTCACACTGTTTACTTAAATTCCAGGAAAACCATTCACAATATTAATATACAGCGATCAGCCATAACATTATGAACACTGAGAAGTGAAGTGAATATTGTTGATTATCTTGTTACACTGGCAACTGGAAGTGGGTGTGATATGTTAGGGAGCAAGTGAACATTTTGTCCCTTAAGTTGATGTGATGGAAGCAGAAAAAATGGGCAAACATAAAGATTTAAGCAACTTTGACAAGGGCCAAATTGTGATGGCTAGATAATTGAGTCAGAGCTAGGGATGCACTGATACCATTATTTCAAGACCAAGCACAAGTACAAGTACTGTTCCTCAGGTACTTTCTGATACCAATAACCGATACTTTTTAAAAAAGTGACGTGACATTTTTTCTAAAACCATACAGACTAATGATTTTAGGGCAGTTTCTTTATAATTATGAAGAACTGTAACTCAATCCACGATTATTTAGCAATGGAGAATGGCAACCAGAAATAAAGGACTACAGATCTCATCAATCCATGATTATACAGCAACGGAGAATGGCAAGTGGCTATAGAGTGAAGGTTTTTATTCATCCAGGTCATTGTATATCTGTAAAAGATAAAAAGACTTGCTGTATTTTTCTTGGATGTTTCACTGGTCATCCGACTAGCTTTCTCAATTCAGATTGACTTGTGCAAAAATTATCTGGGAATAAATATGGTGAATGTTGCTCCAATCAGCATAATCTGTTAAACATAACCAGCATGGGGTCAAAGACCTCATGGAGGTCAGGCGTTGATCACATTTGCATAATTGGAGCTAGCAGGTATTAGTAACTTGCTCAGAGAGAGGTGTTAAAACAGCATTGTATGTGGCAGACAATAGATGTCTCAACCCAGTCTCTATTCAAGCTTGGCTGGTTCTGATAGAAGTTAATGCTGGTTCTGATAGAAGGGTGTCTGAACAGAAAGTGCATCACAGTTTGTGCTGTATAGGGCTGTGTGGCCACAAACCGGTCGGATGCCTATGCTGACCTGTGTCCACCGCCAAAAGCACCTACAATGAGCATGTGAGCATCAGAAGTGGACCACGGAGCAATGGAAGAAGGTGGCCTGTTCTGATGAATCATGTTTTCTTCCACATCATGTGGATGGCCGGTGCGTGTGGTGGTTACCTGTGAAGAGATGGCACCAAGATTCACTATGGGAAAAACACACATACCATCTACCTAAACATTGTTGATGACCAAGGACACCCATTCATGGAAACGGTATTCCATTATGGCAGTGGCCTCTTTCAGCAGGATAATGCACCCTGCCACACTGCAAAAATGGTTCAAGAATGGTTGGAAGAACACAGCAATGACTTTGAGGTGTTGACTTGGCCTCCAAATTCTCCAGATCTCAATCCAATTGAGCATCTGTGGAATGTGCTGGAAAAACAAGTCCAATCCATGGAGGTCCCACTTCACAACTTACAGAACTTAAAGGATCTGCTACTGACAGCCTGGTACCAGATACCACAACATCACCATTAGCATCAAGATCCAACACTATTCAGAATTTCAAGAGCTTTTCCTGTCAGAACTGCCCGAGATTTGACTGAAGCATCTGGAAGACTGCTGCAACTTATATCTGCGGTAACCCGCCCGTTCTCTTACATGCCAGTCTCTTTTCTAAACTCATGCACTAGATGTTGATGTCTAAGTCACTGTTGACCCAGCTCAGTGACCCAAGTAACCAGCTTGATTTCAGGTAAAATATGCAGGTATTATACAGTTTGTTGGGGATTTTGTTATCTGGTTCCAGCAGATAATTTCAGGAATAACACCTATTTAGCCCATCATATATACTGTAGACATGTAAGGCTGTTCCTGCATGTTGCTTTAGCTAGAAGGGGACATTTTATCAGGCTGTGAAATTACCTATTTTATTTTTTCCCATGTATATCTTCAGCGCTTGTCTAAGGCAAACTAAACGTGTATCTCGAGGCAAAAAAAAGGGAACATCTCTGCAATACATGCTTATTTCCCAGGGTTTTTTTTTACCTTTGAACGCTCTGAAAGTACAGAAATAAAAGAGGTGTGATAAAAAAAATATGGTGAAATAAATACTGTGTTTAAATAAAAAAATGTGTATTACAGTAAAGGACACTTTGCCATGAATCCCCCTCAAAATAACCACCCTCGCTTCGAACACACTTATCCCCTCGTTCTTGCCACAATCTAAAGCAGTTCTGGAAGTCTTCTTTGGTGAGTGTCTTTAGTTGCGCTGTCATAGCTGCCTCAGAAATTGCCATACCAGAAGCAAAGTGTGACACGGATTGTTGCCACATTTTATAGCACACCTTCTTTCAACAGTATCTCACAACCAACTTACTGCACTGAACAAGTTGAAACTTGTCACACACTGTTACTAAGGTTCAGCGCGCCACTTCTTGTATTGAAGATCCCTGCCTTTCCGTTGGAGGGCACTCGGCAGCAGCATTCACCGTATTATTTTTTATCACACCTCGTACCTGTTAATGCACTCCACTTTTAAGTCCTGTTGTGGGCTGACAACACTACATTTTTGTGGAATGTTATCAGCCCTCTCAGTTGTCTTTTGCTAAGTTACTTAACCACTCAGATCTTTACAGCATAAAGGCTAATTATTCTGTAGTCCCCGATAAGAAATAGGAGGGATTTTGAGGTAACCTAGGAAGAGGACACAAGACAGCCCTGAATTTCTAACAAGATCAAGTTTGTTTTCATTAAGCTAACAGATATAACACAATGCTTTCATTGGTATATTAAACAGACAAAAAGGGAGAAAATAAGTTCATTGTTAGGGTTTGCATACACTTTAACATTTTAATAATTTCATGTACAACTGTGATTAAATCAAACTGGTGAACAATGCGAGCTGCATTTTTGTCATATGTGTATGTTACATGGTTATGACAGCGAAACATCACTGGTTATTATATCTTTAATTAAGTCACCATATATGGCTGAATACAATCGTGAACAATATGTTCAGTTTAGCTAACATGATTATGCCTATGGAGAAGGCAGAGTAGAGCACACAGACATCCCAGGTCCTGACTTATCATTGGAGAAAACAGCAATTTATTTTAATAGGGGTCTGTATCAGGGCAAGACTCATTAACGCACACTAAATTTCAATTATGTGCAAAGATATTTTTATATAAAACATGCTATTAAAATTAGTGTACTATGTGCCATATTTTTAACATACTTTCTTGAACGTTATATAGGAACCAAGGAGCATCTCTTCCTCACATTAAACCAGAATACCTGTTTGAACCCCTGGACTACGAGCGATGGATCCAAGTACAGGTACGGCTCAGCACTAATTTTGCCAATATTACTATATCTATAACATAACATTCATACAGTTTTATATTTAGAAACATATACATGACTATTTTTAAGAATTCACTCTTGAAACCTAAGTCATCAGCAACAACAAATGATTTTGAGTGACACTTAAAACTGGAGTAATATCATCAAGACTATTTATAACAACAATATCATGTTACTTATGATATGCATTCACTACTAAAAGACTATTCTCACCTGAGCTTGCTGGGTATTAGACACTGGTTAGGAATAAAAACTATTAAATCATGATAGAAACTACTGCTCCAGAGACTCACTTGTTTTACATAAACAGATTTCAGTTAACTCAGACTTTTGAATGATAGGAATTTTCCTACATAATAGAACATTGCTTGGCTGAAGCCTCAATCATTGGGTAAACATTGAGGAACTAATTTTAAAGCCTAACTCCAGCCAAAATGTATTTTTTGTTTACTTTAGAACAAAGTAGAGAAAAGCTAAAATCTGTCAGGTTTTTATTTCTGCCTGTTCTAGTTGAGGAAATGTTCCCTTCTTTTTTTTATAAATTCTTTATTTCAAGATTTTTCAGGTAATACAAGTGATACAGGTAATAACAGCATGACACAAACATAACAGCATATTTTGTGGTTATAACGTCACCATCGCTACATGGTAGCCAGTAGTCATGTAACTATTTTAAGTCTCAGCGGAAGATTCACATGTGGAATGGTCAAACATTCTCAGAAGTATAGGGGGAGACATTAGGTAATATAAAGTGCATCTGAGATTGGTGGAAGACACCACGTAACGTCGCGGGCCCAGGTGAAACCAGTGGGCCCAGTGTCAGTGCAATCCCCTCTATCTTCCACTGTCGGTTATCTAAACAGACCACAGAGATATTACCAAAAAGAAAGGGTGGGGTGGAGGGGGCGGTGGCAACCAGCATTGAGAAAAGGGCAGGAGGGGAGCAGAGCAGGTAGGAGGGAAGGGCGGTATAGAGGTATGGAGAGAAAAGGGTGGGAGATGAGGTCAGTGGGCCAGTGGGCCATTCCCCGGGCAGCTGTCGCTACTTGCTCGGTCGCATCCTGCCTCTAGGGGGGACCCTGCAACAGGGCATGAAATTCGGATGTCTGCGTAAAAGCGGTCCAATAGAACCATGTCCTGCAGTGCTTTATCTGATCTCTGCTGGTACGTATGAATTACACCAAGGGAGGCAATGTAGAGGGATAGCCGAGGCCGCCTGTTCTACTTGCAGCCAGGGCTTGGGGCTGGCCTCCTGGCACCAGTCCACTACCCTAGCAAGATGGCAGGCAGTGTAGTAGAGCGAGGCATCGGGCAGGCCAATACCGCCGTTAGCCTTTGAGAGGCGTAGAAGGGCAAATTTCATCCTCGGGGTTTGTGGGCCCAGAGGAATTGTGAGAACAGTCTGTTTATTGATTTAAGGTACCAGAGGGGGATCTGGATCGGCAGAGCCTGGAAGAGATATAGAATCCGGGGCATGATGTTCATCTTAATAATATTACACCTACCAAACCAGGAGAAGTGGCTGGTGGTCCAATGGAGTAGATCCTGTCTCAACTTGAGGAGTAGCGGTGGGAAGTTAAGATTAAACGTTTCAGAGAGGTTCTTTGGGATTTTGGTGCCTAGGTACGTGATCGCCGAGGTGGTCCACCTGAAGGCAAAGGAGTCACAGAGACCATTGGCCAACAAAGGGGGGATAGAGACATTGAGTGCTGCTGATTTGGAGTAATTAATTAGGAAATTGCATAGTTTCCCATATAGGCTAAATTCTTCTACTAAGTTGGGTAGAGAAATTATAGGATTAGACAGAAAGAATAGCAGATCGTCAGCAAAGGCTGCTACCTTTTGGGAAGTGGATGGCCCGGTAGGAATGCCCATGATGTCAGTATGAGCTTGTATTCTACAGAGAAAAGGCTCCAAAGTCAGGATAAACAACAAAGGGGATAAAGGGCCGCCCGGTCTCGTGCCATTATTGATTTCCAGGGGTTGGGACAGGGAGCCATTAATTTTGACCTGCGCGGTAGGGTTGGAATATATCCCCCTGATCCATGCCAGCATGCGGTTGCCGAGCCCAAGACATTGTATTACCGAGTCCATGTACCTCCAATCCACCCTGTCAAAGGCCTTCTCGGCATCTGTGGACAGGAGCATGAGTGGCAGGGACTTGGAGTTAGCGGTATGGAGGGAGGCCAGGAATCTCGTAGTGTTATCTCTGGCTTCTCTCGTGGGGACAAAGCCTGACTGGTCAGGGTGGATCACTGCAGGCATCAGAGGGGCTAATCTTGATGCCAGGATCTTGGTGAATAGTTTGAGATCAACATTTAAGAGAGATATGGGTCTGTAACTTGGGCATGCTAGAGGGTCTTTACCTTCCTTGGGTATCACTGTAATATGTGCTCTGAGGGTGTCTAGTGGGAATGTTCCTCCCGAACCCACCTCATTAAATGCCCCGACGAAGTAGGGGGAGAGGAGGTCCTGGTATTTCTTATAGTATGCCAGGGTGAAGCCGACCGGACCAGGCGCCTTCCCCATAGCAGCAGGAAGGGGAGATAAGGATTAAAGGGGGTGGGGTAGAGAAGGGGGTTACAAAAACAAAAAGATAGGGGAGGACAATTCCTCAACAAGAACTACGCCAGGGGGGGGGAGCCCCGGGCGTGTTCAGGGCCTAGGTGGGGGAATAGGCTTAAGGCAAAGGTCACGAAGCCATAGGAGAGCTCCGGGCAACGACTTTCGATACAACTGAATAGCATAGTATAAAACAGCATCAAAAACAAAACATAACATCTAAAAGGCACTAAATGAACAGTTAGCGGGGTGCAGATTTACACAATGAGGGGCATTCCAGTGTTGAAGGTAGACAGGAATGAGAACATCAACTCTCTGTCACTCTATAACCATCCCTCTGTGGACTCCTCTCCTCCCACCTCCCCCCGCCACCCCACTCCTGAGGTCTAGGTAGCATCAGCATGGTGAGGGAGGTTGCCCGGTGGATCCCTGAGCTCCCTCCGCCCATACCCCAGCCCCCGGCAGGTCGCTGGGAAGTCAATATAGGAGCCGTGGGCCCGGCCCTAGGGAGGTATTCCATCCCTGGGCATCCATGGGCCATCAGGTGTTCCGCCAGAGGGGTGAGGTCGGCTGGGGTTAGCATTCCGGGAGGGGCCACCTCGGTTACTTGCACGGGGTCCCGTCGGCTCTAACGAAGGGTGATCCAGTCCGGTACCTCGACCCTCTCAGTCTCCAAGAAGGCAAACAGAGCAGGCAGATCCACAGGGGTTTTCAGTGTAAATGTCAGATCCTGTTTTCTAATCACCAGGTGAAACGGGAAGCCCCACCTATAGGTGGCCCCTGAGCGCCGTATAGTGTCTAGCAGCGGTCTCAGCAATCGCCTCATGAGGAGGGTACGTCTGGAGAGGTCCGGAAAAAGTTGGATAGTTACCCCATCAAAGTCCAGTGTCCCTTTACGCCACGCACATTGCATGATGTTGTCTTTGACAGCAAAGAAATGGATTCTGCATACCACGTCTCTCGGCCTGTTCGGGTCTTGCTGTCTGGGGCCCAAAGATCTGTGCGCCCTGTCAATCTCAATAGGTGTGTCTGGAGGATTGTCCAGGTAAAGATTAAAGATGTCTCGGCCAGTGGCCCGGAGGTCCGATGGTCCCGTAGATTCAGGGAGTCCCCGGATGCATACAATATTCCTCCTGCCCCGGTTATCCAAGTCATCTAGGTGAAGGACAGTGGTAGAGAGCTGTTGTTGAGAAGTGGACTGAGCAGTTTCTAGGGCAGCGACCCTATGGAGGAGGTCAGACTGCGTTTGTTCCACAGAGGCCAACTGGGAGGTAATGGAGGCGAGTTCCTGTTTAACTTCGGCCAGGTCTTGCTTGTAGGCAGTTTCAATGCGGGTAGCAAAAGCATCGAAGTCAGCCTTAGTGGGGAAGGTGGATGTCAGGTCTGCTTTAGTGAGAAGTGCACTGATAAGGCGTCTAAGGTCGTCATTCAGGATTGAGATAGTTCAGGGACCTCCGCTGCTGAGTCCCGTGGGGATGGTAAGGTGGGATCAGAGCCCCATGAGTCTATGGAGTCATTCCTGTAGGCCGCAGGCGCACCCGAGAGGGGCATTCGTCAGAGAGGTGGCTCGGGGATACGAAGAGCCTTTTAAAGGCAGTTTTGGGGGTGAATTGGGATCCCTTCCCTTTCACCTTCTTTCCCATGGTGCCGGGTGTTTGCTGGTGGTGGCTGTTAGGTCTTTTAGCAAAAGTCGGGCCGTGAGCTCAGAGGAAACACAGCTCACACGGCCATTGCCAAGCCACGCCCCTGGAAATGTTCCCTTCTTATTTGTCCTTGTAAAACTAGGACAAAAAATGAAGGAATAGTTGGGCAGAAGGAAGCACACAGCAGTAAAGGCACTGTGAGCTGTTTAAACTACTTTCAACTCTACTAAATATTTGTTTTGTCTATTTCCCCAATAAAGAGATTTTCTATTACTTCCTGTCCTGACAGGAAGTGAGAGAAGGTTTCCCTAATAGCTAAAGAATCAAAGATACAGTATTGACCTAACAAAGACTCTAACTCTTCCACATGCTATCCAAAACAAAGTAAAATATTGGAGTTGCATTTTAAAGCTGAACTTCAGACAAATAAACAAGGTATAAGTTAATGCAGATCTGTATTAATTATTACACAATAACAATTTTTTTATGCAAACAGCGCAAGTACCTGACTTTGACTTGATAAAGCATGATCTTTGTTGTTGTTTATAGCACCTTTTTTTTGTTTTAGTTTTCTTTGCTTCAGTTTTTACAAATTACAGTGCTATACAACAGCAAATATATCAACAAAAAGTTTAAAAATCATTGGAAAATTTGAACAGATAAGATATGGCTCAGTTTCTAGAGAGGATTTTTAGACATGGAGATCTTACCTGTTAATGATAGTTGCTTCCTAATGATTTGTGGCTTGCAGCAATTAGAAATATTTAA